GCCAGGAGCAGATAGAAAGCAGCAGTCACAGAGGAGGGGGTGGGGCTGGAGGCTGGGGGAGGAAAGGAAGTCCAGGGGCTAACGCTCCGCAGGAAAATACAGCCTGCTCTGCGCTCACTGTGTCCCTGTGGTCGGGGCAGCCTTCCGGAGGGGTAATGAGGACTGAGCCCTCCAAGGTGTCTGGGGCTAAGAACAGAGTCGGGGGGAGGGTATGGAGCAGGGAGTGGGGAACAGAGGCTGCAGACCAGGGTAGGGCCTGGACAAACCCACTGCTCAGGTGGGGAACCTGAGGCTCAGACGGCCAAGTAACTTACCTGTATGTGGCACTGCTGGAATGGGAACCTCACTGGTCAGCCTCTGGACGGCCCTGAGGTCTGTGGAGTGAGCCGTGGTGCGGGGAGTGGGCGGCCAGGGCCATGCGGCCGTGCTGGAGGGTGATCTCGCAGTGTGGCTGCAGCACAAGAACATGGCCAAGATGCGAGGAGGGCCACAGCGCGATAACGAGATCGGGTCTCGGGAAAGTCCCGGGCACGCCTGCACGTGTGTTTATACGCTCCTCGGCTTTCTTCTTCTGTGAACTTCTGGCTCGTGCCCTTCCCCAGCTCTCTGTTGTCAGTGTGACGTGTTTAAAGTGCAGAGCAAAGGGATAGGGCTAGGGCTTCAGGAAAAGCTCTGTAATTTCCCACAAGCTCCACACAGATTTGGAATACCTTTCTGATGGTGTGAGTGCATCATGTGTAGCAGCCCAAGGCAGCACGTTAATTTTCTAGTGTCCCCAAGGCTGAGTGTGGGGCTGGCTTGGTGTAAATTCCTGTTGACTGCATCAGCCAGGTGACCCCTGCTGCTGGCCTCTGACTGGCCTCCTGAGGGAGGGCAGGCAGGAGGCCCAGGGCATGCAGGGGCAGCTGCCACTGGAGCTCTGGAGACCGTGCTGCAGTGGGACCACTTCTCCCCACACAAGAGCAGTGCCTGGCACAGTGTGGGTGCTCCGTACCGAGCGTGGGATGAAGGAGGGAAGGAGTGCTCCTGGCTGCCGGTTGTGGAGCGATTATGGGCTGTGCTCACTGGTGTCACCTCACTTACCCTCCCAACAATCCCTGGAGGTGGCTGTTGCTGGCCCATTTTACAGATGAGGAAGCCGAGGTTCAGAGAGTACTTTACTGCAGGCCACACAGCCAGGGCTGCAGCCTGCTGTGTCTGTCATAGAGCACACATGTTGGACTGCCTGGTGCCCAGGCTGACATGGCCTCAGTACCACTGACTCATCTGCGGGTGTGAACAGACCTGTGGCTGGCCCCTGCCTGTTCCCAGGCCCTCACACTGTCTTTCCAGGCTCGGGTGCATGGGAGGCGAGAGTTGGGAAGGTCTGGGGTTGTTGAACACAGTCTTGAATGGCGGTGTCTATATGATGCCACCAGGAGTTGAGAGGACAGGAGAGAGAATGGGTCCAATCCTGTGTGACCCTCAGCAGGTTACTGAGCAGCCCTCTCTGGGCTTCAATTTCCTTATCTGGAACTATCAACCTCTCCTCACAAGGACGTGGCACAGAGAGGGCTTCCCCCACCCCACCCCAAGCTAACAGTCATTGTAAAGCTCAATGACTTCTTGCAACCACTGGCTTGTGTTGGCTGACAAGATTGAGAGTGTTTCGGGGTGCTAGGGAGGGTTGCAGAAGGAGTACAGGATAGTGTGCTCTCCCTTGGCTCTGGGGTTTGGCTTCCAGGCTGTGGGGTGTGCCTGGGCAGTGTGTGTGTGTGCTGTCCCGCTGGGGTAGGTTGGTGGCGTCCCCTTGGGGGATAACTGGGCAGACTCTGTGCTCCTCGTTTGTGGCTGGCATGTGTGAAGGAGGGCGTGGAATGTCCATGTCTCCACCCTTTGCCCTCTCACGGGGAGCGCGGGCAGGCTGCAGGCCTCCCCCCGGACTGGGCTGAGGTGGAGGGGCTCTGGAAGGCTCTCAGAGTTGCTGGAAAACAACAGCTCTCTTTATCTAGCACTCGGCCTGCCTGGCCCTGCGCGACACGCTGTGTGCCCTGAGTTCTTCACTTTGGCTCTGCGAGGCAGCAACTGTTACTCTGGCGGCCTCTTTGCAGATGCGGAAATGAGGCCCAGAGGAGCTGGTACCTTCCTCCAGGTCCCCCAGCAGGTGGCTGGGTTATCAGGATCTGACCATGTGGGGTGCGCCCAGAGCCCCTCCTTGTCAGCTGCCTCCCCCGTAGGCGCCAGCTGGCATTTTCTCTGATGGTGCCGTGGCTCAGCTGTTGGGCACATTTGCACATCTGTCCGTCCTCTGTCCTTGGCCAGTGGGTTGGAGCGTTGTCTGTGTTCCTGAGCAGGGTGGCGTGGGGTTGCGGCCACAGAAGTGCCCTTGGGGGTGCTGCTGCCCGAGACGTGGGCTGGGGCAGCCAGTGGGTGCGGGGGGAGGTGGTCACCCCACCCCCAGCTGCGTGTGCCGGGTGCATGCGCGGTGTGAGGGACAGAATCCTTGACTTGAGACGCCCAGGGACCCAGCCTGGGAACTAGACACAGACCAGTCAAGGGCAAACCCCTCTCATCTGGGGCAGGCCGCTGTGGTGAGCATGTGAAGACTCAGTCCCTGAGCGTCAGCCCGGGGCCCAGGCGGGGCTCTGGAGGGGCGGATGGCAGATGGGCGTGCTGTGTGCTCCCTTGGTCAGGGCCCTGGGGTCGGGGTTGAAGGAGCACTCTGAAAGCCTTGGGCGGGACTTGAGTCCTTGTTTTGGCTTCATTTTCTGGGTCCTTTCAGTGGGAAATTCCAGGCCCAGAGTCACGGGATTTCCTGTTGATTTCTGGCTTCTCCAAGACCCAGAAGGTCTTGATCACGGCCAGGCATTGGAACTTCCTCCCCGACACCTTGGGTGTGTGTTTTGGGAGGACAAGGCCGCCAGGTTCACAGTGTTCTCCGGGCAGGAAACCATGCCTGTGCTGACAAAGTCCAGCGCAGCCCCCTGTGGCGGTCAGCCCTCCACCCTGTCCAGCTGCCCCGGGGGGCCAGCAGGGGGCTGGAGGACGGGTGGCTGCTGTGTGCAGAACTCCCTTTCATCCTGGGCTCTGCCCCGTTCCTCCTGCCACTCTCCTGCTTCCTTGCCCTGTGACCTCAATATGGACATAGGAGGGGGCTTTGGCCCCCAAAGCCTGCCTGGGGGTGGGCTGAGGTGTGTAGAAGTCCAGAATGCCTGGCAAGGCTTGCTGAAGAGCCTTCCGGCCCTGCCCGGCTGCGTGGGCTCCCCAGGTGGAGCCGAGAGGAAGCCCCGCCTGGACGCCCCAGCCCAGCTTCCAGCCCGGGTCCTCGTGGCAGCAACACTGCGTTAGACCCACTGTCCACAGCCCACAGCTGCCCCTGAGAGGCAGAGCCCTCTCCCACCTCCTGGGCTCGTCCTGCCCGGGGACCCTTCTTCCCAGTGATCGGCACCTGAATACCCGGCCTGAGCTTCCCTCGCTCAAGAATTCTTCTTATGATGCTGTGGCAGTGAGGGAGGGATGGGATTCAATATCTTGGGAGGGAGAACAGGCTGGAAAGATATTCTCAAAGGCGGTAAGCTGGTGGTGTGCCACACGACATCGCCAGACCATCACATCTCTCCCCGCTGGGCCTGACCGTCCTCCTTTGCCCAGCTGGCCAGGCAGCCATCCCCAACCCATTGGAGTCGACACTTGAGACAAAACCTGTTTGCCACCCTTGTAGCAAAAGTCATGGGCTCAGGGTGGTGGAAGGTCGTCAGGCCGTTGAGTCTGACACGGTGCCTCCTGGGAGCCCTGGCTGCAGTTGGCACGGGCCTGGCCCGGTGGGCATCTTCCCTGTGGTTCAGTTTGGATCCCACTCCTCCCTGAAGGAAGCCCTCCACTTACCCTTGGGACAGCAGTTATTACCATGGATGAGGAGGCTTGCTCCCCACCCTGCTCCCATCCCAAAGATTCACGCTCTTGCCTTCTCCGTGGTAGGGGTTACATGTTTTTTGTGGGGCAGGCGATCTGAAACTAACTTATAGTGCAGGAGAAAGAGCTGTTGAAGTCTGACCAGTCTGGGGTCAGATCTGGACTCTGTCATCTGTGTGTGAGCTTGGGTCCCCTCTCTGAGACTTAGGTCTCTCATCTGGAAGGCAGGGTTGCCTCAGGGATTAAATAAGAGCATGAACACAGAGCCACTCACTGTGCCTATGTGGCGTTCTATACCCAAGTCACTCTCTGGTCCCTGAGAAGGGGCGAGAGGAGGCACAAGGTGGCCACTGACACCCCAAGAGAGGCCCGGCACAATGAAGACTGAGCAGCCTGGCACCCAGTCAATGATGTTGACGAAAGAGCCAGGCGCCCTGCTGAGTGACTAGCCCAACCCGTCGCAGCAGCGGTGATGATGGCCCTCCAACAGCTGGGAGCCTGGGCCCGGAGAGCGAGGGACAGCCCGGGCCGCCCAGGGACTGAGAGCGCCCAGCTGGAGCCCGACGGCTCTGATCGGCACATTCCTGGCTGTCACTGGCCTCTGTCTGACCGTCCATGGAAGTACGCTCGGGCTGCCAGGCGTGGCGGAGAGATGGGGGCTTCGGAGTCAGGGAGAGGGTTGGCTTCTAATCTAGGCTTTGCCTCCGACCACTGTGGCCCTTGGGAAGGTCACTCCTTCCCTCCAGGCCTCAGCTTGTCCATCTGTAAAATGGAGATGTTGCGCTGGCCTTGCAGGTCGTCCTCTGGGAGTAGATTCTGCAGCCCTGGCACGAGTTGGCACGTAGCATGTCCACGGCACACCGCAGCTGCGAGGATGTGTGGGCCGCTGTGTAGGGTGACCCAAGCTGGTGTCAGGCAGCTCAGTACTGACTGCATGTCGCTGAGTCCCCACAGTGCCAAAGCCGTCATCGGGGTGAGGAGAGCAATTTTCCTTACCCTGGAAGGCATTTTAACTTTGTGAGGAGGGGGCGTGTCCATCAAGTGCAGCCCGCCAGGCTTGCTGGCCTTTGCCCCTTCTGCTCCTGATCTTTCCACTTCTTCTGCCCCAGCAACATGTCCAGCGCCTTGGCCAATGCGGTGTGCCAGCGCTGCCAGGCGCGCTTCGCCCCCGCAGAGCGGATCGTCAACAGCAACGGAGAGCTGTACCATGAGCACTGCTTCGTGTGTGCCCAGTGCTTCCGGCCGTTCCCCGAGGGGCTCTTCTACGAGGTGAGGACGCTCCCAGGACCCTCGGCTGGCTACCTTCTTGGAGCCTAAGCCCCTGGCCCAGCTCAGGGTCTGCCTCTAGGAGCCTGTGGGCCATGCCTGGCCGGGGTCCTGACCAGTGGCTTATGGGGCAGGGTGCCGGGCCTTGAGCCAAGCTGTGCTCCTGCCAGCACAGGACCTTGCTTGCTACACCTGGTGGGCCCACCCCTCACCTGTGAGATGTGAACAGTGCTGCCCTGGTGGCTGGGGGTGCTGAAAGAGACACTGGTCTTCCAGACCCTCTGGGCAAACACCCTGCCCTGGTGGCATTTACTCTCCCATGGGGAGGACAGTTAACACAGTAAATATATGGTATATCAGATGGTGCTAAGTGCTCTGGTTATAAGGAATCTTGGGGTGGGAAGGATGGGTGGTCAAGGAAGGTAACGTTTGGGCAGACCTGAAGGAGGTGAGGGAGCCATGCACACCTCTGCAGGAAGAGCACTCAGCAGACGACACAGCAAGTGCAAAGGCCCTGAGGTCAGAGCATGCAGGGTATCTGAGGAGCAGCGGGTGGCCAGTGTGATGGAAGCAGAGGAAAGGAGAGGGAGCAGCAGGAGATGAGGGCAGGGAGGCAGATTTTGTTTGGCCCTGTGGGCCTTTGTAGGGCCTTAGGATTTCGCTCTGGGAGAAGTAGGAGCCGTTGCAGGGAGGGGTCACACCATCCGTCCAACATTTGGAAAGCACCACTCTGGTTGCTGTGCTAAGGAGAGACTGGAAGAGGGGCAGGGACAGAGCTAGGAGAACAGGTGGGACCAGAGCCAGATTATGGTGATAATCCAGGTGAAAGTGAAGGTGTAGACTGGGCTGCAGTTGCTCACAAGAGCAGATTGTTAAATTTTCAATAATCTTGCAAGCTGGTTGTTAAACACAGCCAGTTTTGAAAATTAAATTATATAAATGTATAATGAGATAAAATTTTATTAAAAACAAAGGTAACAAATACTCAAAACTCACCACTTCCTAATTATTTTATTACATTTACTGTCGTCTATGCCTCGAGGTTATTTCTATCTGTTGTGCCTGTGTGGTGGACACACTGTGCCACCCCTGCTGCTGCAGTCTCTTCTCACCTCCATGCCTGCAACACGTTGGAAGCTTGAAATTGGGAACGGAGGGAATATTTACACAGTAGCAATTGGCAAACGTTACAGATCAACCTCTCCACCGCCAAGCTGGTTGTTAACCATTTACCAGCACACCACCGGTGGGTGCAGTGGAAGTGGTGACCAGTGGCAGATGCTGGATGGATCTGGAAGGTAGAGCTGATGGGATTGGCTGCTGGATGGCTGTGCGGGGTGATCTGCGCGGCAGAGTGGGAGCAGCATTCCTCACGGTGCTTCCCGGGAAGTGCTGGCCAACTGCAGAAGCAGTGGGCGGGGTGGGCAGGGCTCTGTGAGTGGGCCGTGCGCCTAGAACAAAGCCTGGCACACAGTAGGGGCTCAGGAAATATTCGTTGCTGAATGAATTTAAACCCCTGCTGCCTCTACAGGTTGCTGCAAAGGGGTGTATCCAGTTGCAGCCTAAGAAGTCCTTCATTTTAGAGAATAGGGGAAAACCAAATTTTGGAGAGCCAAATGAAATTGTCAAGGGAGAAGAAAGCTGAGACAGGCTTTGGCCACACTTGGGACCAGTGCCAGGGCCCTCGTTGCCCAGACGGATGGGGACAGCGGCTGTCTGGCTGGTGTCCACACCGGCTCCTGCTGGCTGCAGGACTCAGGGTTCTCCCTTGGGCCCCCTCAACACCCCTTCCTGGGTCCCCCTTCTGTCTCCCTGCCCCCGGTCTTTTGTGGCCTCTGGGGGAGTGGACTTCTCACACAGAGAAGACGCAGGAAATAGGGCCAAGTGACACGTGTAATGCAAACTGGACCCCAGCCCTCCGCAGCCTGAGCTACTGCCAGCGCTCGCTCAGCCCCAGGACCAGCAGGGCCCAGATCTTTGGCGAACAGCAGCGGCCCTTCCCTTAGAGGGCTAGGCTTGCTGAGTTCCCAGCTTCTGCCCCTCCCCAACACAGCACTCCCGCTGTGTGGAATGGGCCAGTTCCCTCTGTCTCAGTCTTGCACCTGTGGCTCCCTCTGTCTGGACTGCCCTCCTCTCCGTACCCCTCATCCCGTGCTGTCTGTCAGCTCCGTATCCCCTCCTCCGGGAAGCCCTCTCTGGGGGGAGGGTTGGGTGCCCCGCTTCCTGTGTGGTAGCAGTCCTATGAAGTGGGGTGCTGGTTCAGCCTCCCTGAGGCAGCACGGGGATGATGGTGGTTTGCTTGTCCTCTCTCTGCTGGCCCCACTGCAGTTCGAAGGCCGGAAGTACTGTGAACACGACTTCCAAATGCTGTTTGCTCCGTGCTGCGGATCCTGTGGTAAGGGCTGGTGACACGCCTCAGCACTGCCAGGGAAGTGGGCGAGCAGGAGCCGGGAGCTCTTCCCCGATGGCCCACGCCCTGTCTCTAAGCAGCAGGCTTCAGGCCCCCGGCAGGCATCACCTTGCCAAGCTCTGGGACGAGAGCCCTTGGACCAGGCTGAGAGCTGGGCGGAGCGCCAGTGTGGACACGGCTTGGGAGGGGGCTGCGCAGGGGGAGGGGTGCGTGCCCTGTCCTGGCCAGCAGAGACCTCTCTCTTCCAGGTGAGTTCATCATCGGCCGTGTCATCAAGGCCATGAACAACAGCTGGCACCCGGGGTGCTTCCGCTGTGAGCTGTGTGACGTGGAGCTGGCTGACCTGGGCTTTGTGAAGAACGCGGGCAGGTGAGATGGGCCGTCTTGGGCAGGGGTGAGGGCCCCTCATCACAGGCGCTGTTTGCTGAGAGCCAGGCCTGGTCCAGGCACCGAGGCCTGTGTCGACGTGGCTGCCAGCCCCACCAGGCAGATGGGGGAATCCTGTCCAGTTCTGGGATGAGGACTGATGCTGGAGAGAGTGAGTGTGATGAGTCAGGGCCCCCGCAGGCTCGGGGGTGTTCCTGGGAGCAGGCTGACAGCCGACAGCAGATGGCAAGGAGGAAGGTGGCCAGAGCAGGAGCTGATAGACACAGTGGACGGATAAGGAGCTTTGAGTCAAGTTACCACAGCCTGGCCACCCTGTGCTGCCAACCCCACCGTCCACCCTCCTCCATGTGCCCACGGCTGGATGCTGCTGGACAGAACATGCCCAACCAGTGGCCATAAACCTTGTTGGCGCCCAGGGCCCTCTCCTTAGTAGGCCACATCCCACTGCCAAGAAGTCTTGCTCTTTTCTCCTCCCCCACTGCCCCTGACTGTCTCCACCCCGCCCCCCCCCTCATAGCAAGGACTTCCCCTCCCCCTTCCGTGAGGGCACCAGCTGCCCTGCTGCCCCAGCACCTGTACCGTCCCCTGCCTCAGTCACGGTCACGGTGGAAGCCATGTCCCTGCACCTCCCAAAACCATGCTCACCTCTTGAGCGAGGGATCACAGCTTCCCTCTGCTCTTTCTCCCTTTCTAAAGGATGGGGCTCCGTAGCTCCTGTTCAAGGGCCCTCGGAGCCTTCCTCCCACTGTGGATCTCTGCTGGCTCCTCCCAGCTGCTCCCCACGGCCCAGTCTGGCCGGGGTCCCTGTGGCGTCCACGTTGCAGGCCCAGGGGTCACTGCGGGGTTCTCCCTTGACCTCCCAGTGGCCTTCACTGCAGCTCCCTGGCCTTCAGGCTGAAACACCTCCTGTCGGGTGCCCAGAACCTGTGTCCTGTGGTTGCCTCCTGCCTCCTGGCTGCGCCTGTCTTTGTCCTCTTCTGGCTCACTTTCCTCCACTCACCTCTCCATGTTGGGCTCGTCTGGGGCTCTGCGCTTGGCCCTCATGTCTGCCCAAAGTCCCAGAGCCCTATCTGACTCAACTGCCCACATGCTGTCTCCAATTGGTGTCCACTGGGCATCCCAAATGCAGCGGGTCCCCACCAACTCTGAGTCCTCTTCCGCTGACCCCCGAGTCTCAGGAAAGAGCACCGCCTACCTCCTGATCAACACCCTAGCAGGCCAGCTGACTCCCACACCCTCTCCTGTCTGGGCCCTGTTGCCGTGCTGTCATTCTGTCCTCACAGCCTTGCTCCTTCCTGCTGTAGTGATCGTGTCCATTTGTCGGCCCCGTGAGAGATGCATGTTGCCTCATGTCCGCCTTGGTGTCTGCAGGGCACTCAGCAGGAGCCCGAGTGTTGCTGGTCTGAATCAGAGTCTGTGGGTGGCACACAGTGCAGCAGGGGCCGTGCTTACCAGCGGGGTCACCTGCTGGCTGGCCTGAGGGAGTCCTGTCCTCTTCCTGAACCACAGCTCAGCTGGTGGCCTCTGCCCAACTGCTTTGTGGGAAAATCCGGAGGAGGCTGGAAGTGCTCAGGGAAGTAAGACGGGATACAAGAGTGACATACTGCTGTCATGAAAGGGGGCAGGGCCCTCGCTCAGACCCTCCCCAGCCCAGGCCGCACTCGGAAGCCCTGATGCAGGACTTAGAGTCTGTGTGGAGCAGGCGGGCCGTGGGGCTGTGAGAGCCACAGTCGAGCGCCTGTGCTGCCCCTGCCTCTGCCGCCTTCACCTCCACTTTGTCATTCTTGGGTCAAAGGGAAGAGAAGTTCTGGGAGGGGCGTTGTGTTAGCCAAACACAACCTTTGGAGTCTTAATGCACAGTTATGTTTATGATCAGTGTAACCAAGTACAAAAAGGACCTGTTAGGGCTATGAAGTGAAGCAGCTCAAAGGTTGGCCGCCGAGGCTGGTAGAGGCCTCTTTGGAGGGAGTGGGGCTAAGGACGCCCCTGCTGGGTCTAGGTTAGTGGGAAACAGGTTCACGTGGCAGGCCCCGGCTACCCGCCTGAGGCGACCTCAGGCAGTGACAAAGCTCGGCTCCCCGTGACTGTCCACCCTTTCTGTGTGCTCTACCAGGACTCGGGAGGGACCGGGCAGCTGCCGAGAAGCTCTGGGGATTGTCAGGCCTCGTGCAGGTCTGCGTGTGGGTTTATAGCAGGAGTGGTCAAGAACTGATGTCTCCACAGGCCATGTGTGCTGGTGTCAGCTGGTGGCCAGCATGAAATGTACTTACAGTGTTCAGCTATAATTTATAGTTCGTGTCCCCTGAACTTAGGGGTCATCTGGCAAAGGTGCCGCAAAGGGAACTCAGAACACCTTACGTTTCAAAGATGTTTAGACAGCCCGCCCTACCCCTCCACTGAGACCTGTCTTCTCGGGGATCATTTGCAGTTGCCTTTTGGGGCTCTTTCTGCAGAGCTTCGCCGCTGTGGGTTTCTGTAGCGGGAAGGAGGCTGGGGGCCTAGCAGGCAGCGCTTGGGAAAGAGAGGCACTCGCGTTCAGGAATCGTTCCTGCTCACCATGGGGTGAAGGCACCGAGGATCTAGAGCCGTAGTGAGCAGGGCTGGTGCAGTCTCTGCCGAGGGGGCGGCCGAGTGGGCCCTGTTGTTAGTTCTCCCTTTTTAGGGATTTGCGTATCAGATAAGTCAGAATGCAGTGCTGGATGACGAGTTTGGACCTTGGAGGAGGGGTGGTGACCTGCTGAGATTTCAGTTCCTCATCTCGGGGGCGGCTGGGGAGAAGTGAACTTCTCCTTGTGAGTCTGGGAGAAGCCTGAGGACCCCCAGGGGTGGTCCTCCTGAGACAGTCTGCGGCTGGCAGGCAGGCGCTCACAGCTCTGACCTGGCGCTCAGCGAGCTCTCGTTGGTCTTCCCGTCAGTGCTGGGGGGTGGGCCCAAGAGCCTCCTGCCACAGAGCAGGTTGCACAGGGCGTCGCGGAACTTCTCGGCCACGAAGAAGTACATGACCGGGTCGAGCGCCCCGTTGAGGCTGGTGAGGCCGGAGGTGATGCGGTTCCCCAGGGCCAGCACGCGCTGGGCGGCGCACGAGGTGCCACTGCCGCGGTAGAGCAGCAGGTAGAGGGAGCGGTGGACGTGGTAGGGCACAAAGCACACCAGGAAGATGGCGAGCACCATGGCGATCATGCGCACCGCCTTGTTCTTGAGGCGCTTCTCCACGCGCGGGCCCTGCCGCAGGCTGCGGATGATCAGCAGGTAGCAGGTGACCGTGGTGACAAACGGGAAGGTGAAGGCCACGGCCAGGGACACGAGGGCGTGGTGGGAGGCCTTCTCCCGGTACAGCTGCAGGCAGACGACAGTGTGGTTGGTCTGCACGGTCTGTGGGCTCACCAGCAGCGGGGCCATGGCCACGGCCACCACTACCCAGAGGAAGGCGCAGGCCAGGTGGGCGTAGAGGGGTCTTCGGAGCTTGAGGGACTTGACGGGGTGCACGATGGCCAGGAAGCGGTCAGCACTGATGCAGGTGAGGAAGTAGATGCTGGCATACATGTTGAGGTAGAAGAGGAAGCCCGTGAGTCGGCACGGGATTTCCCCAAATGGCCAGTGGTTCCCGGAGAAGTGGTAGACGAGGCGGGTGGGCAGGACCAGCACACAGGACAGGTCGGCCACGGCCAGGTGCATCAGGAACACGTTGGCGGGGGTGCCCGACTTGTGGTCCCGCGTGAAAAGCCACAGGGCCAGGGCATTGCCCACAAAAGCCAGGATGAAATCCAGGAGGTAGAAGGAGGCAAACAGGACGTTCTCCAGCGGCGTCTCCTGGCCACATTGCTCTGTGGTGGCCAGGGAGGAATTGGTGATCAGACCTGGGGAGGCCAGCTCGAGGCGATTCATGCTTCGGCTGGAGGCAGAGCCCGGGGACGAGCCTGGAGGGAACAAGCAGACAGGTCCCAGAGAGCCTGGGACGGGTGAAGTGTCACCCTCTGCGGAGGTCCAGGAGCCCTCAGAAGACTTCAGTACCTGCCAACCCTAACCCCAGGAATGGCGCTGTTCCAAGCTCAGCATTGCCTTGGGGACTACTGAGGGCACCTCCTATGTCCATCTGGGGGTAGACAAGTGTCACAGGCTTTCTGAACTTCAGCAAAAAGCAAAAACAAAGCCAGGGCCTGGAGATCTCCAAGGCTGCTGCTGGGGTCGGCTTCCCCCTGTGAAGCTGTGTCCCTCTGAGCAAGTGAGAGCCTGGGCCCAGTACTGGGTGTCCCAGAAGTCCCCTCTCTCAGACCTGGAGGACAGAGTCAGCACCATGGGGATCAGGGAGTGAACCCCGTCTGTCTGAGGCTCCGGGGGCAGGAAGATGGAGAGAGGGGCCCCACATTCTTCGTCCTGCTCCCAACTGTGCTCTCTGAGTGGCAGGGGCTGGCATGTGGGGCCCCTGAGCCCCACTCCCGATGGGTGGGTGGGTCACCTGTTCCTGAGACCGTGCACGGAGCCCGGCCAGCTTCTCTTTGACTTCAGCCTTGCCAGGTGAACCCTGCTCACCCCGAGTCCTGGGACCCTCCCTGACCCTCCTGCCTGGCTCCGTGGCACTTCCCATGCCTGCAGTGTGTCCCTGCTTCCTGCTTCTCTCCTGCGGGCCCCTGGCACAGCTCTCCATACCTGCCGCACAGGAGGGCCCCACCAGGAGCGCAGCAAGGCCGTCCTGGGAGGTCGGGGGCCTGCCCTGTCCGCTGGCACCTGAGGGCTGTCCAGGCCCGTATCCCAGGGTCTCTCAAGCTGTCTGTTTGGACATTCTAACAGGTGGAGACCTGTAATCTAGGAAGCCGTGCTCCTGGGCCTCAGGCCAGCAGCGGGTATTTCACTACCAGGAGGCAGATTCTTTTCCAGTGGGGGAAGAGCCATTTTCCCCAGAGGTAGAGAGACCAGCCAGGGTTTTCCAGCCTAGATCTGCAGTCCCAGAGAGGCCTGGGTCTGGGGAGGCTGCCTGTCCGCCTGGCCTCGCTCTCCTGGTTTACCCACCCCTGTGGGGGCCCAGCTTGGACATTAGGCCAGTTGACATCCTCAAGTAAGGGGTGCCTAATCCCATCATATTTTAATTACCGGAGGGATCTTGGGAAGTTCCCCTGCCCAAATTCTCTCCCCAGGAAGCCTGAAAGTCTCGTACAGACATTGCTTTCCTGCTGCTTCCATGTGGTGTGAGCTGAGGGGGAGGCCTGGAGGCTGGGGGAGGGATGGGGCCAAGTGAGTGAGGGGTCATGTTAGAACCAGGGGTGGGAGGGGCTGTAGAGGGGCTGAGCTGGGTACCCTCATTCTGGGCTGCCCCTCAGGCCTGGACTGTGCCCCACAGGGCAGGGCCATCGGCACCCAGCCCCTCCGTGAGGGTGCTCACAGTACCGACTACCTGCTCTGCCTGCCGTGCACTCACACTGCTTCTGAGAGGCAGGCATCAGTAGCCCCATTTTACGGATTAGGAAATTGAAGCTCGGAACCAGCTAACTTGCTCAAGGTCATGTGGCCAGGGGCAATGGCCCTGGAGCCGAAAGTCAGATCAGGGACACCCTGCACCTCCCAGGACACTGCCGTCTTCTGGGGGCTGAGAGGTCCCAGCTGCCAGAGCTGGGAGTGTGGCTGGGCCTCAGAGCTCGCCCCGGAGTTGTCTCCCAGGCTCAGCACCTCCTCCTCGGGGCCTGGCGCCAGGGCCAGTGACAAAATTTGCGGGGCCCGGCACACAATGAAAATGCGGAGCCCTCGTTCAAAAAGTACGAATTTCAAGCTGATGACAGCAGAGCATTAAACCCAGCATGGGACCCTTCGTGGCTGCCTAGGGTGGGCGTGCCCACCCCTGGCTGTCTGCCTCCTGCCCAGTGCCCTGGCCTCGCACCCCGCTGAACGCTGCATGTGTCGTGCTTTCTCTGGGATGGAGACTTGACTATAAAAGGCTTTCCGGCTTGTTTCTGGTTTGTTGAGGTTTCTCTACCCCTCCCCTATGTTAGGAGTTGTGATACTGGTTTCTGCAGTGTGGTTGGAAGTGGGCCCTGCTTCGCTCTCCATGTGTTCCCTAGAAGTGTGAGCCTGGCCTGCACTCCCTGGCTCCTCGAAGGCCTGGTCTGCTCAGGGCAGGGTGGCTGGGGGTGCATGCAGTGTGGCCTGGGCAGTGTGGGGGCCACGGCTGTGGGTCAGGTGAGCGTCAGGGGGCAAGGGGGGCCGTAGGAGGAGGCCCTTGGCGCAGTGCTATGGTGGGCAGGTGGCCGTGGCCTGGCACCTCTTCCTCCTGCTCCTTGGTCTGGCTCCTCCCTGTGCCCCGGGGCCAGTGGTGAGAGCGTGGGTGCCGATTCCGGCTGACTCTCACTGCAGCCAGGGGGCTCAGGCAAGGCGCTCACCGCCTGTAAGCTGACAGTGGGATGGGGACACCGCCTGTGGGGCCACTATGATTCAGACCGGGGCAGCCTCTGGGAAATAGGTTGTGCCATTATCACAGAGGTGTCTCAGGGACAGGGACACCCTCGTCCCTGTCCTGCTCTGAATTTGTCCCTGCTTGGTCCCTGAGCTCCCTGCCTGCCCCTCCCGGCGCCAGCCCTTACCTCTCACAGCAGGTCCAGGCAGAAGGGGCAGGAGGGCTGGAGGGCAGCAGGTGGGCTGTGGCCAGTGGGTGGCGGCGCTGGCGGTGGGCTCCGTGCAGCTCTGGTGGAAGGTGGCTATTTAAAGAGAGGAGGGGAGGCTGCAGCCCCTCTGGCCCTGAAAGGCCGCTTCATTCCCGAGGGTCCCTTGTGTGGTGGGCCACTCCCACGGCTGCCTCTGCAGCCACTGGGCTGTGAATATTCCAGTGTGTCCAGCCTATGCGCGCCCCCAATCCCCCCCCACTGACTCCAGCTTGGCCACCGAGTGTCACAGAGGCTAAGTGTGTGACTGTCTCGAAGCTGTGGAGTGGGTGTGGGCTGGGTGGGGGACTGGCTGGGACTGACAGACACAACAGGACGTTTCAGAACAGGATAATTTCCTACCAATGGGGGGGCAGGGAGGGGCTGGCTGCCACGGCAACGTGCCCGGGCTCCCAAGCCTGTGTGGCCGACAGTGGAGGGGGTCTTGTGAATGGGAGGGTGGGAGGCTGAGGAGTCTTGTTTGGTCGAATGAGAGAGGATTCTTTCAGGACACTTGCTGTAGGGTCCTTGTGTCCTGCCCCGAATAATGAGGCTCCGTTTGGGCGTGCGGAATAAATCATGGCCTTTATCCTGAGCGGGACACAGCTGCGGGCTCCTCATAATGGGGTGCTGTCTGAGCCTGTGGGGACGCAGCTCAGCCTGCGAGGCCTGGCCCTCGCGTGTGCAGGCTCTTCCTCTGGACCGGAGGCCGTGAAGAGGGCCACTGCTGCCCACTGCCCACTAGCCCCTAAGACTCCATCTGGGGGTGGCTCGAGGCTGGGAGTGTTGGCTGCTTCTGAGTCTACTCAGGCAAAGCTTGTTTCTGTCTTTCAAAAAATGACACATCCAGTAGCACAGGGAACCAATTCACCATTCCTAATTTCAAAAGACTTGAATTTTTTAGTTAAAGCTACATTATTAAAAATATATGTAGCTATTATTGGGAAGTAACTACCACATGTACCATCTGAAATTTGTTTTTTCACACCACCCTGTGCAGTTGGGGTTTCTGTTTTGCCCATTTTACAGATAAGCAAACTGAGGTTCGGGAGGTGAATAACTTGCCAGCGACAAACCACCAGGAAGTGGCAGAGCCGGGATTTGAACCCAAGCACATGCCACCCCAAAACTACGCTTTGTGTGTGGGTGTTTTGTTCTATTTTCCTGTTGCACCTTGATGCTAGAATTCTTAGGTTCCATCTTCATTCTACCTGGAAAAAAATTCTGCAGGTTGCCTTTAGATCTGGTGCTGGCATCAGGCCTGTCGAAAAGATGTTTCATATCTGGGGTTCCTTCAAGAGAGCCAGGCTCCTCAATTCTGTCTGGCCTGGGAGCCAGGGTGTGGCCCCCTCCCTGCCAGGCCCTGTGAGGTGCTCCCTGGAAGAACTGGCTCACACTGGTTTGAAATGAGGGTGTCTGACTGGCTGCCCTGAGCAGGGCATTTCTGTTGTTGGGGCGATTGCTGACAGTGTCTTTAAGGGCATTGACCATTAGAACAGAATTTGGGGGAGTTGTGCTAATTTCTGTAGCTTTGAAACAAAAATTATTCCGTATGGGTTGAATGTTGTCCTAATGCTAAGAGGAGTTATCAAGTGTGGGAGTGGGGTTATGAGGAATAAATGCTGTGTCTGTGACAGACACAAGCAGGCGGCAGATGTGGTGTGGAGAGGGCTAGCCACCAGGGGGAGAGGGTCAGCCCTAGGCCTGCTGTGGCAGGTGGCCTGGGCTGGGCACTGGGGGCACAGAGTGTCTGGGTCAGAGTGGATTGGGGAAAGCCCATCGGGCTTCAGGGATCTGGGGACTGAAGGGGGTAAAGCCTTAGTCACGGAGATGAAGACTGCAGCCACAGACCATGTCTGTGGCCCAGGGGCAGGTAGAGGAGCCCAGCGTCCCGGGCTGGGAGCCGCTGCCCTGTGTGGGGCATCCGGTGAAGGATGGCTGGGAGCCAGTCAGCAGCTCAGCTTGGGCCCCCTGCCCTTCACACCTGCTGGGGAGACAAGACACACACGGGGCAAGCAGCGTCAGGCAGCATGGAGTCCAGACCCAAATGAGGTGGCAGGCACCGTGGTTAAGGGCATGGACACTGAGTTGGCTGCCCTGGCATCTAGGATTGCCCACTACATCTGGATAGGGGATCCTGAGTCTGAGAGTTAATCTCTTAAGTAGACCCTTGACCTGCCTATAAAAGGGGCCAGTGCTGGTATCAGGTCGTGGAGGCTGGTGAGGGGCGGACTTCCCCCTCACAGGCTTCCTGTGGACTGGGGGCCTGGAAAGGGAGGGAGGAAAGGAGGGCCGGATGCCTCGGGAACACTTACGGATTGGGGGGGGGCAGGTGGGGGATGGGGAGCAATGGATTGGGGCCTTTGTGCCTCTTTGCTTGGGGACCCTGAATCTAAATTCCTGCCACCTTTGAGGCCCAAGGACACGGAAACCATGTCGATTTCTCTCTCAGTAGAGACCACAGCTGTTGCCCAAGGCGGGGAGAAGCACCAGAAATTACTCTGAGGTCTTTACAAAAAAGAGTCTGTGATGACAGTTCCTGGGTTTGGGGGCCCCCATCTGGCACAGCCGTGCTTGTCTCTGCAAACAGAAAGAGCCTGTAGATGCTCAGGTCCCCCTTTGTCTGGCAGACCCCAAAGGAAGCGGGTGTGGGCCCAGTGGACCTGGCACTCCTTGGCCACTCTGCTGGGCATGGCGGGGTGTGGAGACAGATAGTCACTGTACAGTTACTCATGGGTGTTAAAAGACATTTGAAAAATAAAACTAATTTTTCAGCAAATGTCAATAAAACAATGTCTATTCCACACGATGTCCTAGGCCCAGAAAAAGTATAAAGAAAAAATTATCACGTTTTCCCTGCTATCCAAAGATGGCAAACACCAACATTCTGATGTATTTCCTTTTCGTCTTTTTCCTGTGCAGACTCCTTTTTGGAGGACGTGTCTGTGGCCTTCCTGCCACAGGATTGGTCAGCTTGCTTTCCTGGCCTGACCCCTGGAGGCCCACGGGCATTTGCTAAAGCTGCAGGGGGGTCAGGGATCTCTTCTCCCGGGAGGTAGTGGGGCTGTCTGAGGAGGAAGAGGGGGCGTGGGCAGCCTGCCCTTAACCCCCTACCTCACTTCCCGCAGGCACCTGTGCCGGCCCTGCCACAACCGTGAGAAGGCCAAGGGCCTAGGCAAGTACATCTGTCAGCGGTGCCACCTGGTCATCGACGAGCAGCCCCTCATGTTCAGGAATGATGCGTACCACGCGGACCACTTCAGCTGCACCCACTGTGGGTACGTGCATGGCCAGTCCCTGTGACCAGGGCCGGTGGAGAGCCAGTGGAGGTGGGACCCCCACCAGGGGAGTGATGGAGCAGGAGAGATGGACCCATCCAAAGAGTGGGGTGCAGGGCGGAGGTGGAATGGGGCCAGGAAGGCACCGCTGCAGGAGACTCCTCTCTCAGGCTTATGTTCAGGGAGGACTTGCCTGGGGCCTGGCTTCAGACTGAGGGGGTGAGGGAGCGCTGGGCCCCGGATGAAGCTGAGAGGAAGGAATCGAAGGCTCGGAGGGCGAGGCTGAGGAGGAGGGGTTGGTGCTGGTGTTGGAGAGGGGAGAAGAGAGGAGAGAGAGGCTACAGAGCCATCCCCTTGTGCCTGCCCCAGACCCCCAGTCTGGTATGGAGGAGCCTGGAGAACAGATCTGCTTCTCAGAGGGCCTGACGGTGCCGAACACAGGCCGCCTTCTGCAAGGGCCGTGTGGGATTCCTGTGCCCGGGGCCTGTCTGGGGCACAGGAAGCCTCCAAAACAATCAGAGATCAAAGAGCCGCCTGCCCTGGGCGCTCTGCTGGGACAGAACGGGGCCTCTCAGGAAGCTGCACCCCTGGGGCTAGAGGGGCTGGTGTGACCCCTGCCAGCGTGGGCCCCCAGAGAAGGGCAGGGAGGCCACCTGGGGGCTCTGTGCTGTCTTCCAGGAAGGAGCTGACTGCTGAGGCCCGCGAGCTGAAGGGTGAGCTCTACTGCCTGCCCTGCCATGACAAGATGGGCGTCCCCATCTGTGGGGCCTGCCGCCGGCCCATCGAGGGCCGTGTGGTCAACGCGCTGGGCAAGCAGTGGCATGTGGAGGTGAGTGAGGCCAGCCTAGATGGGAGGTGGGGTCCTCCTGCAGCCCCTCCCCACTCCCACTCCCAGGCCGTGGAGCTGGCTCCCAGCAGGCACCTTCCTCTTGGGTGCTGCGCCTCCTCACCCCTGGCCAGGAGACCTGAGCACACAGACCATGGTTGGGCAGCCATGCTTCCCTTCCTTCCTCCTCATCCTGGCCTTCTAGAGGATTCCAAAGTGATAAGAAGACCTTGGGGACCATGTGCCCAGGGAGCCCTGTGGGATTGCAGTTGACAGAACTGGGTGTGTGTACAGCCTGTGTAGACATGGAAGCTGGGCACACCTGGTGGTGAGCTCCTCAAGTGTGCCCACCTGGGTCACCTGGAACACTCACCCCTGCACTGTGGGCTCTTATGGTCTTATGGACACTACTTCCAAGGGAGGTTTTCGATCCCCAGTGACCTGACCAGCTCTGTGTCCCAGAATCTCTGCCTTGGGTGGTCTCTTTGAGAAGGTCCCGCTGTGGGAGGGTGGACCCCCACACGCCGAATCCTTGCCGAACAAGAAGATGCTGCTCAGAGACATGAGGGCTTGTAGGGGATGCCCACGGGAGGCAGACATGTGCAGCCTTCCAAGAAGCACCACGCTAATAACATTGGCCCCACCTGGGAGGGCCCGCCATGGCACAGGCTCCTCCCCTGACAACTTGGGCTGAGGTTGCCCAGGTGGGAAGCAGGCCCAGAGAGGATGGTGACGCCAGTGTCACTGTGCGTTAAGGAAGGAATGGGGTCTGCTGATGCAAGGACAGTCTGTGGAGGTGTCAGCCCCACTGCGCACCTGTGGGCATAGGAGGCACTCCACCCCTGGCCTCTGCGTCCTGTCCCGGTCTTGCTCCAGACCTGACTGGACCCCTCCCCTCCTAGCACTTTGTCTGTGCCAAGTGTGAGAAGCCATTCCTGGGTCACCGGCACTATGAGAAGAAGGGCCTGGCTTACTGCGAGACCCACTACAACCAGGTAGGGCGGGGCCCGAGGGCGCGCTGGCAGGACCTGCAAAGTCACAGGTCTGGAGGGGAGCTGCCTGCGCCTGTTGGGGGCTGAGGGGTGGTGGGGAGCCTGCAGGGAGGTGGGCGGGAAGGCTGCAGGCGTCGGAGCAGGAGAGCATGCAGGGCAGCCCCCTCAGGAGCGTGGTGGGTGCTGAGCCAGGCCTATGTGCTCCGGCCCAGCTCCCAGCTCAGCAGCCCTCTCGGCCTCTGTCCTCATTTGAGAAATGTGCCCCTATGGCCCAAGCCTGTTGTGGGGACCGAACGAGATGACAATGTCACAGTGTGACATTCTTCGTCCCCCTCCTGCTACGTCTGGCAAAGCCGCCCAGCTGCTCTGGCGCAGAAGACAGGGGTGACCACCCTGGCCCACACCTCTCAGGACACCAGCAGGAGCAAAGGGGCTTTTTGGGGAGTAATGCCTCCACTGTGGCCCTTCCCAGAGGGGAGATTCTGATGGGCCCAGGGTGCCCTCACATCCTGCCCTGGGCTGGGGCACATCTGCCTGGCTGATACCCTCTCTGTCCACAGCTCTTTGGGGATGTCTGCTACAACTGCAGCCGTGTGATTGAGGGCGACGGTAAGGCTCCTCTGTCCCTGTGCAGCCCCCCTCCTCGGCCCCGGGCCCCCGCTCTCCCTCTGGGCCCTGGGTCCTGCAGCTGCGGGCCCAGCTGGCCCTCACTTTGCACAGCTGGGCCTGCGGCCGGCCTGGGAAGGGGCTGCTGAGCACCATCCGCATCCGCCCCTCACAGTGGTGTCAGCCCTCAACAAGGCCTGGTGTGTGAACTGCTTCTCCTGTTCCGCCTGCGGCGGCAAGCTCACCCTGAAGTAAGTCAGCCAGCCTCCAGGGGCCCCAGGGGGCTGGTGGGCAGAGAGGGACTGCACGGTGTCTCCCTCCCTCCCTTCCCCTCCCTCTTCATGGCTCGGATTTGAGTGGGCTTTCCGTGGGCTCTTCCTTTCATTAGGCCTTCCCTGAATGCTCACTGTGGTCAGGCCCTGGGGATGCGGTGGGAGCAAGGCGTAGCCTAGCCCCATGGTGGCAGGTCCAGGGACCCCCAGGGCACAGTGACACAAGCCTCCAACACACCGCAAAGACCATGGGCTCTGGGGAGGGAAGGGCATTCCAGCCCAGGGAATAGCATGTTCAGAGGCAAAGGCGTCAGACCACAGGCTCATCCAGGAGGCTGAGAGGGGTGCAGGATGGCTGGAGCTGTGAGGTGCAGTGGAGCCCAGGTTTCTGAGGACAGCAGGGAGCCATGGAGTGTCAGAATTGGAGAGAAGCCTCTAGGAGCGGAGGGAGACCTGCAGGCCCCTCTCTCGTTCACTGTGACCTCTGGCCAGAAGCTCACCTGGGGCCTGGCCTGCGGGCCAGAAGCAGGCTGGTGGGGGAGGCTGTGGGCTAGGAGCCAGGGAAGCCCACTCCTCGGCCTCGACGGGTCAGAGGAGGCCTGGCTTGGGGCTGGTGGGCCATGGGGCTCTCCTGACTGTGGGACTTCCTCCCCAGGAACAAGTTTGTGGAGTTCGACATGAAGCCCGTGTGTAAGAGATGCTACGAGAAGTTCCCGCTGGAGCTGAAGAAGCGGCTGAAGAAGCTGTCGGAGCTGGCCGCCCGCAAGGCCCACCCCAAGGCTGTGGGCCTCAACTCTGCCTGAGAGGCCCCCTGCCTGCCCTCCTGCCTCTCCCTCCCTGCTTGTCTTCCTGCTCCTGGTGCCCCCTTCTGTTTACTGCCTCGGCTCCTCATCTCATCTCCTCTGTCTGTCACCTCTCCCCATCTCCTGCCCTCCCTCTGTTCTCCCCACTTCTCTCTCTGCTCAGCAGTCCCTCCTTTCCCCTCTATTCCCTCATCTCTGCCTCTTCCCCACCTGTCTCTTCTCTCCCTCCCATGGGCTCCTCCCCTTCCTTCTTTCCAGGCCAGGGGCAGAGGCAGGGGTCCTGGAGGTAGTCAGCCTGTGACAGGCCTGTGCCCACAAGGTTCAGCCTGAGGTCCTCCAGGGACAGGAGCGGATCAGGGCCTGGAGTCACCTGGCTCCAGCCTGTCCTGACCTGTCCCATCCCTGCAGGAGGCCTGGCAGTTCACTGTCTCCTGTGGGAGCTTGGCCAGCCTCCACCCCAAAGTGGCCCCACTGTGCACAGATGGCCCTCGGACCAGGGCCACGAGAATGGGAGCCTCTGGGGAACCACCCTTGCATCCCTCAGCCACACACTCACTCAGCCAAATAGGATCCCTGTGCCCAAACTGGGCCAGCAAGCCCTGCCAGCCGCACCCCACGCATCACCAGGCCCCACCACCATCACTCAGGAGGCCTCCTTCCTGAATCCGGCCTTGGCCAGTCCAGCCCCAACCCGGGCCGCTGTGGTTCCCCATGGCCCCTCCAGCTCCACCCCGCCAGGGCACACGCTGACTCTCTGGGTGTGGCCGGGGGCCCGGAGGTGGTGGGGTCAGGTGGGTGGCTCATTCCTACCCTCCAGGGACCTGGTGTTGGGACTCACACTTGCACAACCAATGAAGGCTTATTTACACATCACACGGCCCGCGTGGTTTGTGGCATCGGGCGTGAGGTGGTGGGGCAGCAGCCCCTGTGGACGCACTGCTGCAGGGTTGTTGAACACCGAGAGAGCAGGTGTCAGATAGGACAGGTGAGCGTTGTTCAGGTGGGACCCAGCCCTTGTTCCCAGGGCCAGGCTGCCATCCGGGCTTGGAGACAAGGCCAGCCAGAAGCCCTCAGTCCATGAAGGCCAGCCTGGTGGGTGGGGTGGGGGCAGGCTCCGACAGGGCTTTCTAGCACTTCGGAAGTGAACCCAGGCTTTCAAGGCCCTGCCTCCAGCTCTGCCCCCTACCTGGGCGGAGGCCAGCCTTAGCAGGAAGCTAGTGGCCTGCACCTCCACCAGGCCCACTGGCAGCAGCGCATGTGTCCCAGTGCCCTGTGGGGGAAGGAGAAAAGGCTTGCACAGGGGCCTCTTAGGAAGAATCTCCCCAGGGGAGAAACAGGAAGGGAAGGAGAGAGGGAGGGAGAAACCAGTGAAGTCATTCCCTGAGCACAGAGTTGTCATCCCGTATCCCTGGAGAAGTCACAATGCTTTTTGCTTCTTCTGGAAGAGACCCTTTGCTGGCCAGTGCCTCCTGGGCCTCCTGCCCACCTGACCGACCCCCTCCCCCCCACCTTCTCTCACTGACACACGCCCTGCTGCTCCGTGAATTTTTATTGAACATTTTTGGGGAGGTGGGTCATCTCAGCCGTCCACCCATCGGCCTGGAGGCCTGACAGTCCCGGCCTCCCCCTGGGCTCCCTCCTTTGGCCCCCATGGTCAGCACCTAGGGGAGGGGGCCCACTTGGGCTGCAGAGGGGTGTGGGGGTGTTTTGGGGAGAGGGCAGAATGAAAGACTGCCTGCAGGAGGCAGGCCCTGGGCTGAGAGAAGGGCATCAGGGAAGTGCCCCAGGACCCCAGACTGGGAGGGTGACTGAGTGGCAGGCAAGCCCCCGCTGCTACAGATCGGCCAGGGCTGGGGCCCGGGAGCCCCGCTGCTTGTTCATGGTGCTCAGCAGCTGCTGCACATACGAGGTCAGCAGGTCGTCCATCTTGTAACCCTGGACAGGGGAAGGGGGGGGTCAGAGGATGCAGGGCACAGCTGGGGCGCTTCGACCAGGGCCTGGCAGTGCCCAGCTTCTGCCTCTGCGACACATGGGGCAGGGAGGTGGGGAGGGAAGTAGGGCTCCTGCTGCTGGGAACAGAGTCCCCCTCGCTCCTCAGAGTGCCCAGGACCACAGGCCCCACAAGCAGGCCTTGCTGCCACGCTCCTTGGGTAACACGCCCAGCCCTTCCCTCGCTGTGCCTCCTTCCAGGCCTCTGCTGGTCCAGCCCGGCCTGGCCCACCCCAGGCACAGGTGGCTGGGCCCTCATAGTGAGCACCTTGCCTGGGGGCAGGCGAGGGTCAGGGTGGGGGAAACCCAGTCCCCAGTGCCTCTCCGTCTGTGTGTCTGGCGAGGAGAAGGGACTCGGGGCCCCCAGGAGGCCCCCAGGCCTGGAGCTCACCAGAGAGGTCTCACACAGCAGGCGGCTGCCCCGGCCCAGGCTCCCTAGCACCATGTGGAAGTAGGTGCTGCCGCTGCTCCAGCTGGCGATCTTGGTGAAGGGGTAGGTGGTGAGCAGCTCCTGGGGGCGGGGTGGCAGGGTGGGTGGGAGCCGGCTGAAGCCCTGGGGCCCCGGGGCCCTGAGTCTGAGCTGCTGCTCTGGGGTCCTCCAGAGCCCATGGGGCCATGTGGGGGTACAGGAGGGCAGGTGACCGCAGCCCCACCCGCACAGGGGTCCTGGGACCCTGGTGGCCTCCCTAGCCCTGCCGGGGCCCTGCTGCTACCTTGGTCTTGGGGTGGATGAGCAGAACCCCGTGCCGGTTGATGGCGATGAGGATGATGTCCGGGTAGGAGGGCTCTGAGGTTTGCTGGGGAAGGGTCACAGTGGTCACAGCCCAGCCCAGGAGGCCAAGCGACCACCACCCCGAGGCACACGCACGCACACACGTGCACGCATGCTCCTCCGAAACCTGGTGGCTGGTCCCACCTCAAGATGTGTGTTTGAGGAGAAGCTCAGGCTGCTGGGCCAGAGCTGCTGGGGCCTGCTTGGTGAGGACGGCTGGGGGGGTGAGGCCTACCTTCACCTCAAAGAAGGCAGACCCAAAGGTGGGCCACCGGCAGATCCACTTCAGGAAGGCCACTTTGGCCTCCTCCACCGTCTTGTCCCTGTGCTTGTCACAGGCCAGAAGGATGCTCTGGGGAGGTGAGGGCTGGTGAGGGCCTGTGGGTCCCACTCTGCCCAACCAGGCCCTCCAGATGGGGCCCCAAGGCCTGGCTCCAGGGCAGCGCCTGCCTGCCAGAGGCTACCCTGGGGGGCGCTTAGAGCCAAGCGTGTCCTCCAGCCCCTGGGGAGGAGAGCGCGTCTCCCGAGTGCTGTGGACGGCATGCAGGCATGGTGTCCGCAGGCCCAGACCACCTTCCAGCCCAGGAACGTGCTCATCCTGCCCAGGCAGGTCCTGGCACCCAGCCCCATGCCGGGTCCCTGGTATGGCAGGTCCCCTTCCCAGCCCCTGTCAAGGACCTTTTTCCATTCCTCCGAGGACATCAGGCGTGTGAGGTTCTCGGGCACGAGTTCCCTCAGGATCTTGGGGATACCAGCTAGCTGGGCCCGGTCACTGTCAAACTGGGCCTTGTAGATGAGGCCTGCCAGGTGGATGGCGTCTTCCCGTGAACACTTGTGGAACCCACGCAGGTACTTGGGCAGCTCCTGGGTGATGGACACGCTGGGCCTCAGGCTGCTGCCCCCCACCTTTGTGCTCAGGTGGCAGGGGTGACAGCCCACCCCCATCCAGGAGACTGAGCCAGCAAAAAGCTAGGGCCCTCCGGGTAGGGTTTCTGGCAGGGGAAGGACCATCCAGTCGGGGCTGGCCCCTGGCGTCTCATGGGGGTCGTGGCTGCTCTTCCCTCTGAGGTCAGCTCTTCAGGGCCAGCGCTCCAGGGGACGTGGGACCTTCTGCCCCTCCCCTCCTCTGGCAGTCGTGCTGCAGGTGCTGCTACCTTCGCTGTCCCCAAACACTGCTGTCCCTCTGCTCCTGGCTCCAGAACCCTCAGGGGCTCGGCCGGCCCGCCACATGGGGCCTGAAGGGCCTCCAGGAGCCCCTGGCGTGCGGTGGCCCTGGGGCAAGGCAGCCGCTGGCCTGCTGCCTCCTCCACCTCTCAGGGCAGGTGTGGGATGGAGTGAGGGTGGACCCAAAGCCCCCGAGGAGGGAGCCTGCCCAGTACCTGGTGGTAATGGAGTACGGTGTCTGCGTTCACGTCCTTCCCCGGGGCCACGTTGAGCCACAGTTTCCGCATGAAGTACACCCAGTAGGGGAGGGTCACGGGGCCCCCTGGGCAGGGCCGGCAGTGAGCACCAAGCCTGCCCTGGGCCCTGCTCCCTCCAGGACTCCCCTGGCCCCATGGGCTCTGCTGCTGGCTCCAACCCCTCCCGTGGCCCTGGGCGCTGCCGCCCCCGTCCCTGCACCCTGCCCGCTGCACATGCTCCTGGATGCCCCTCATATGGCGGCTGTGTTTGCTCCTGCTGCCTCCCCTGCTGGAAAACCTCCACGCCTTCCTTCTCCCGGACCCCCAACTCTCCCTCATCTTTCAAGACTAGTGCGGAGGTCACCTTCTCCAGGAATGTCGCTGGACCTCCCTGTGGGGGTCAGGTCCCGTGCATCCTTCATCACCCTGCAGTCCAGCCATCTGTCCTAGGTCTGTCCCCATGCCCTGGCCCTGCCCCAGCTGGGAGAGCTCCCATGGCAAGTCTCTCACTGCCTGGCCCCAGGCCTGGCCGTACCCATGACCCAGGGAACATAAAAGGGAATGAATGAATCAATGAATGAACGGGCATGGGCCATGCAGGAGGTACCAGGAAGCCTTCCGACCCTGGCCCAGGGAGGCAGACAGTCTGTGCCTCTGCCCCGTCCATCCCAACCCCATCCCCCTTCCCTGCCCGCCCTGCTCCACACAGACCCCCTCACCTTCTTTCTGGGGCTTGTTCTTCCTCACCCAGTCAGATACCTGCCGCAAGGAGTCGAAGAAGAAGTCTCCCTCCTTCTGGCTGATGACCTAGGGTGGGTAGGGAGGAAGGCACAGAGGGCGTTCAGGTGGAGGGGCTTCCGGGGGAGTGCCCTCCTAGAGGGCCTGGGTCCAGCCAGCCCACCTGTGGCCTGGAGGC